TCCCGGGGAATAACCGAGCACATTCCCGCCACTTTCCGCCACGTGCTGAAGCTGCCCCGGACTCTCGTGCTCTTACTTGGGGGGCCCCTCGCCCTACTCCTGGTCTCTGGATCCTGGCTCCTGGCTCTCACATTCAGCCTCGCCCTCCTCTCCGTTCTGTGGTTCCTTGCTGCACGTCCCTGGAGGCAGTACGTGGACATGACTTTGCGCACAGACATGGCTGACATCACCAAATCCTACCTGAGTGAGCCTGGCTCCTGCTTCTGGGTGGCTGAGTCTGAGAAGAAGGTGGTGGGCACAGTGGGAGCTCTGCCCGTTGATCACCCCACTTTGCAGGAGAAGCGGTTGCATCTGCTTCGCCTCATTGTGTCCTCTGAGCACCGTGGTCAGGGGATAGCAAAAGCCCTGGTCAGGACTGTCCTCCAGTTTGCCCGGGACCAGGCCTACAGTGAGGTTGTCCTTGACACCACCACAATGCAGGTGTCAGCTCTGGGCCTCTACCAGGGCATGGGCTTCCGCAAGACAGGCCAGTCCTTCCCAAGCATGAGTGCGAGGCTAGTGGATCTTCATGAAGTTTATTTCATCGGCCGCCTCCCCTGTGCTCAGGCGGGGGGCTGCTGATCTCCTTCCTTGTGCATCAGTCGGGAGGGGATCCTCCGTGCTGCAGTAATTAGCAGAGCTGCCTTTCAGTGCTGACACAATAAAAGCTTATTGGCTGTTCACATCAGAGCCCCAGTGTCTGGTGGGGTGGTGGCGTATGGGGTAATGGTCCATTCAGTTTTTGTGGGTCATGTCTGTTTAGTTTTGTAGTGCCATGATAATGTTGCATAACAAATTAGCCCAAACAATAATAAGCAATTATTTAGCACACGAGCCTGCAGGTCAGCAGTTTTGGCTGGGCTTGGCTGGGCAGCACCTCTGGTCTCAGGTGGCTGAGCCAACCCCACTGTCAAAGGTCATGTGGTTGGCTAAAGTGACAGGGTGATGGAGCTCTCATATCCCACAGCTGAGCTCAGGCATGGTTTTCAGGTAATTGCAGAGAAGGAAAAACAGAAGCATAAATGAGGCAATGCACTTTGAAGCAGCTGTCGCATGTGCTGACACCCTGGACCTAGGGGAATGGACGGACCTGCCTCTGTAGAGAGAGTAGCTGCAAAGTCGTGTGGCAAAGGGGTGTGACTTGGCTGTGTGGAAGATTTGGGGACAATGACATAGTCAATCTGCTCTAGGTCCAAAGTCTCTGAGAAGGAAGAAGGTGGCTGGGGATAGAACATGGAATTCAACATGAGGTCAACCTGGACTCAGGCAAGTGACCTCAGGAGGACTGTGGGGAGGCTGGGCATGGGGTCCCCCTCTTGTGTTTGGGAAGAGGGCATGGGATTGTGCATTTCCAAGATCTGTCACACTTGGGACCCAGCCTCTGTCCCCCAAAGCTGAGGGACTCCAGATTTTCACAGGTGCTTGGGGTCTGACCGCATCAGGCACTAAGCCTCATACCCGTGGCAAGTTGGGACTCGGCCTGTGCTGATGTTGGGGCACCAAGCCCCTTTCCCAGCTAGTTCATCACCAACATGGGTGCCCCTGTGGGTGGTCTGGAGCCTCTCACTGGGTCCTTCCAACCAACAGGCCAAGTCCTTGGCTTGTTACCAAAAGCTCAGCACTTGTCCACGAGGCTAAATCAGAAAAACAAAGACAAGTGGTTGAAGAGAAGGAAAGAGATGTTTATTACTTTCCTGGCAAAGGAGGAAAAATGCAGACTATTATCGCCAAATCCAGTTTTTCTACCTCATATAAGAAAATATAGAGCTTTTAAGGGGAGGGTTCTCAGGCTCAGGATATTGTTGTCAACTACTGTTGATTTTTCTGATCCGTTTATCTTAAGCATCTGTTGCCCCCCCCCCCACTGGTCTTGGGCATCTCGGGACTGACTGCGGGTCCTCCATAGCTTCTGCAATGCATAAGACAAAGAAAACCCTCCCCTGCCCAGCTGCTGGTCTCAGGCTGGGAATCTGGTTTTAGTGAAAGACAGAATTAACACTCTAAAGAGTGAGACCTGAAGACTGGACAGCAGGAGTAAAGAAGAAAAAATAAGAAAAAAAGAAAGAATTTCAAATTAAAAATTAAAAAATAAATAGTGAGAGGGTTTTGCAAAGAAAACAATCCTCTGGCTGACCAAGCCAAGCCAAGCCTCTTGCCTGGGGCCTAAAAAACGGGGGAAAATAATGTGTTTTATTGAGAAACAAAAACCACATTATTTTCCCCCGTTTTTTAGGCATTCTCTCTGTTATGGGCTGATCCAGGAAGTCCAGGTGCCCTTTCATCCACCATCTTGTGATGCAGAGGCTGTATTTGGGGTCTTCTCCAGCCCTGGAAGTGTACCCTGCTTATAATGGACCTCTGAAGGGTCAGCCAGGAGACACCAGACATACTCCTGCCAACTGGCTTTGCAGGCAGGTTTCACCTAAATGAGACCCTTTCCCACGAGTTTGGCATAGTTCCAAGCATTCATGCTGCTGCCTGGAACCACAGGCCTCTGGTCTGCCCTCTACCCCTCTGTGCTGGTCTCTTTTCCCCCTGGCCACGTGGGCCACCGCACTCCTCTCTGCCAGGCCATCGGCCTCCTCAGGGCCGCCTCCCTTGTGCTTCTCTGAAAACCTAGCTATGGAATCCCGTTGTCAAATGCCCCCCAAAGCTGGTGTTTTAAACCAGGAGTCCTCAAACTAGGGCCCGTGGGCCACATGCCGCCTGCCTAGGACATTTATCCTGCCCGCCGGGTGTTTTTGCCACCGCTGCCTGTCCTGCTTAGCAGCCGACTCATCCCGGGCCCACAGTGCGCACGTGTGGAATGTGCGCTGCACTCTCCATCGGCCCTCCAGCGGTCTGAGGGATGGTGACCTGGCCCCCTGTTTAAAAAGTTTGAGGACCCCTGTTTAAACTGAACTGCTGTTGGCTCCGGAGATGTGGTTCCCGCTTCATATTGATTGGTGGGGCCCTGGGGCCCAGCCTTTCGGAGGCAGGAAGAGACGGTGCCAGGCTCCCCCGCTGCTCTGCCCAGCTCTCCTCGCCCCGCAAGGCCTGTGCCCTCGGGAGGAGTTTCCAAGTGAGCAGTGGACCTGGGCCAGGGACCAAGTGAGCACCGGGCTGGGGCCAGTGACGAGGAAGGTCCACAGTGGTTCCTGTGCTTTGAAAGATTTAGTCTGTGACAATGACATGGCTTCACTGATCCCACACAGGCGTGGTCAAGCCCTCCTGGGACCTACGCCCAGAGGTGGCTGAGAGACCCAGTGAGGGGCAAGGACGGATGCGTTGTCATATGAGGTGATGGGGGCGTCCTGGGTCCTGTGGAAAAACATCAGAAGGCCCCCGACCCTAATTGGTGGACAGCTTCATGGAGGGACAGGGATTTTGATCCCAGAAATTCAGAGCCATGGTGGAGCTTGGCCCAGCCACACAGCTGCCTCTAGTTCTTGCAATGACTGAAGCTCTTTCCGCTTGAGGCCTTCGAACTGCTGTTCCCTTTGCTGGAAAATTTTCCTCCCCTGTCCCCTCCTTACCCCCTTGTTTGTTCAGTAGCTGCATAACTTGTGAGTTGGGAGGAAGCAGTTCACCTGCTTTTATTCTGACAGTTATTGTAACTTAGGCCTTTGCTACTCAAAGTGTGGTCCCCAGACCGGCGGCAGGAGCATTGCCTGAAACTTGCTAAAAAGAAGTGTGGATGCAAAGCCTACTATGCCCACAAGAGCAATATTAGCATGATAGTATCAATGCTGGACGGCTTCCTTCTGCATGCAACTCTGAGGCCCCGTCCATGAGGCGAGAGGTCGGGAGCGCCCTCTGCTGGTGGCCGCTCCCCACTGCCCGGTCATCCTGGGGACATGCTGGGCGCTGACAGCCAGGGAGAGAGGGGGGCTGGCGCCCTCCCCACACCACACTCACTGGCAGCGGGGCTGTGGGCACTGCTGTCCTGCAGGATTCAGACACAGCTGCGGAACTGACTATGTCTGGCTGTGAATCTGGGGGGAGGGTATCATAGGGTCAGGAGACTGGGCTGGGGTACCGGGAGGTCAAGCAGGACCTTCAGACCGAGACACTCCATATGACAGGGAAGACGTTCTGCCATGAAATCTGAGACCAAAATGAGGAAATTCTAAAGGAATTTATCAACAACAGCTTTGGGGTTGCCAGGGTTTGAGGGGCAGAGATGTGAGGAGGCATGGCTCAGTGAGTACAGGTTTCCTTCTGCGGTGATGAAAATGTTTGGAGACTTGACATAGTTCTGTTTGCACAACACCGTGAATGTGTCCAATGGCACCGAGTTGTACATTTCGCAATGGTTAATGTTATGTATGTATGTAAATTTCATCTCAAGAAAATTAGGAGAAAAAAAGGAGTTTGATGGTTCTAAAACTGACAAGTCAGAGAGAGCAAAGATATTGAGGAATTTTTACGGGGAGATTTGCTGCTGTGCTCAGTCTGCCCTTACAGAGCGAAGGGTGGTGGGAGGTGCCAACTTTAACCCCAGCCCACTGGATAGAGGCTGTGAGGACCCTTCTTGTCGCTGTGAGTGCAAGTCCTCGTCTGCCAAGACAAGTGATGTTGCCTCTTGCCTGATAAACCTAAAAGTCAAAGTCACAGCCTAATAGTCTGGGACTTTGGCAGAGGTAGGATGATGCTGGACGTGTGTGTGTGTGTGTGTGTGTGTGTGTGTGTGTGTGTGTGTGTGACAGAGAGAGAGAGAGAGAGAGAGAGGTTGGAGGAGGAAAGAAAGGAAGAAGGACAGGGAGGGAGAGGGAGAGATGGCTTTGCCTGACCTGGGGCTCTGGCAGTGGTGATGCCAGCCCGTGGGCTGCCAGGGAATGGCAAAGTGCAGATTTGTGACTTGTTGGGCAAGTGTAGGGTAGGAGACTAAGGGCTTTCTATAAAGTAGGAAGGAGGGAGGACATGGTCTAAGACAATTTTTTTTTTCACTCAGAACATTTTAAATGATGCACAATAAAAAAATATTCACCTTACAAATTGTTCTGCAATCCAAATATAGAATAGCTTAGAGAACAACATTTAGAAAACAGAAGCCAATGTGAAAAGACAGATTAAAAACACTAAAAGTACATGTTTCATATGGCTTGGATTTGACAGTTTCTCACTGCGTCATCAATGTCAGAAATCTTTGTTCCTTCAGCTATCTCCGTTGCTCTGGATTTAAATAAATACCTTTTCTTCCTGGTTTCATTTTTGTCTTCTGGATGTTAGAGAGACAGTGAGGGATCTGGGGTGTTTTAGGGATCAAAGTGGGTGTTGTTTTTATTTTGGTCCTGCCCATCATTGCCCCTTACTTTGCACGAATCAGCCAGATCAGTCCATGACCCCACCCAGTGATTTGGGCCTCTAAACAGAGATTGGCACGCCAGCTGCAAAAGAATGCAAAGTACTCTCTAGCCCACAGGCCAAGCCCCATGGGTACCATAAAGTCCAGAATGTGACCTAGAACCCACGTGCTTAGTTAAGGTTCAGGTCATGTGACTCCCAACTGTCCATTCAAAGTGGTTCCATGGTGACCTCTGAACCAAGAGGGAGGCCCCAATCTGGGCACTCTAAAATAAGACAGACCATAGGCAATCTCTTTCTCTCTCTCTCTCTTTTTTTTGCACCCTTCCTTTGGCTCTCCCTTTGCTGCACCAATGGGTCTGGCTGTCATCTGTGGTGTATGTAGCATGCTCTGTAAACCTATATCTGGCTCTTGCCCCATAATCCCATCTTTCTCTCCTCAATAAACTGTATTTCGTGCTTGCCTAACTTTGGCATGTCTGG